TTCTTCTCAAACTTTCCTAAAAATGTCATCTTTGGGCTGGACTCAAGAGGAACATTTCAGCCAAGAAGACACATTTTCCACTCTGTCAGGAATGAACGAGCATGGGTTTGGAACATAAAGTGTTTTGCAATCCTCAGAAAAGCAATACTTCTCACCAAAACCATGGCAACAGCTCCGCGATACCGTCAGAGGCTGGGAGCATTCAGGAGCCTCCTCCTGCCCAGATACTCGACTAGGCTTATAACCTATGTCAGTTACTAACAGTCACCCAGCTGCCAGAAAGGTACCCAACATGGCTGTTGCTATGGAGACACTGTGGGCAGTGATGCTGAGCGGAGTGTCCCTTATATTGAGTTACCTATGAGGGAGGTGGCCTGAAGTCTTCCTCGTGCTCCGGTGGCTCCTGATTCTTCATGAAAGGGACCCCCACACACACTTAAATGAGTTCCTTTCAAACACAAGGTATGACATGGCCAAAGCTACCCTTTCATCATCCAAATAGTTCCATTTGGAATTTGCACCCAGAGGCAAAATTTGAGAGTCCAGCACCATGGGTTTGAAACTCGCTTCCCTCGCTTCTAACTCTAGGGCCTTGTGAGCTATTTACACTCTCTGGGCCTGATGAGCTGTAACGTGACTAATAGTTCACACTCTTTGTGGGACTTGTGAGAGGTTTCAGTGAGATGATTTGTATGAAAACCTGTAACCCAAAGACTGGCACTTTCAACTCCATCAGTGCCACAGAGACCGAGAGAAGAAGTAAAAGACGTGAACCGGAGATGAAAGACGCCATCCTGATGAGTGGCCGACTCAGCTTCTTCCATTCGCTCCTGTTTCTCTCACCTGCCTTTCTCGCCTACTCTGCATACCGCCTACTCTGCACACCGTGTGTAACTGTGCCCTCAGTGCCTCTTCCTACAAGATTCCTACAGGTCCCTCCTTCCCAATTTGCACCACCTCCCCCCAGGGACCGAAATCCTGGCCATGGCTGATGGTTAAGGCAGCAATGACTTTTTAAGTTACACATTGCTACTCCCTCTGCATCCCCTTTTCTTCTTCAGATTCTATAACCAGTATCAAACGGATGGGCTTTCTCCCGAAGCAACCATTATCAATATAAAACAAAAAGGTATTTATTAGCCTTGCATAGTTTAGAAAGCGGTTCGCAATAATCCTGCGAAACAGTTACTGTGATTTATGATTAATAGTAACATTACTCTATGCAGACGAGAAGGCTAGGACTATAGACATGGTGACTTGCGAAGGTTACACAGCTTGGAGTCAAAGTTGAGTCTACACTGTCCATTCCCAGCACCCTCGGCTCATTAAGCTGCCTCCCTTCTGCCTCAGGAGGGTCTGCCACCCCCTCGGGCATGTGGCAGAGGGGCTGTCTGTGTGGTAAGGAAATGGGACAATGTCCATCGATCCTGATATCTGCCCCCTCCTCAACCTGAAACTCTAGAGACCCGCACAGTTGCCCCTGGTACTTCGGTGGCTCTTCCTCTCCGGGGCACCAGCAAGTGGCACGTTCCAGTTGCAACCCAGTGATGTAGACATTCTAACTCCCGTTCTTGAGTTGGGTACCCAGTGCCAGCCCCAGCTACATGCAGGGAACCTGTTCCTGGCCCTTCACTATAGTTGATTCAGAAGTTTCTATTTACTCTTTAATAATCAGTAAGCGGGGGGCTGCTTCTCTGACTTAATGGGGTTTACACTTATGATTGTTAAAGGATCATGTCCCCTCTTCTTATGGGAGGTAGTGCTGGGAGTGGTGGTGGAACTTGCGATGCTGACCCTGAAGTTCCTTTGAGGGTGTGGTGGGTGGGGGTGGCAGGCTGGAGTAGTCAAGAAGCATCTATAGAGCCCTAGCCAGTTTGGCTCAGTGGATAGAGCATCGGCCTGCAGACTGAATGGTCCCTGGTTTGATTCCAGTCAAGGGCACATGCCCGGGTTGCAGGCTTGATCCCCAGGAGGGGGTGTGCAAGAGGCAGCTGATCAATGATTATCTCTCATTATTGATATTTCTATCTTTCTCTCCCTCTCTCTTCCTCTCTGAAATCAATAAAAATATATTTAAAAAAACAAGAAGCATCTATAAAAAAAAAGGCTAATATGAGATTCTCTCTACCAGACATGAAAATCTATCACAAGTCTAGAATAACTGAGCTAAACAAGGGTAGCCAGGCCAGTGAGAAAATCAGAATCCTGAGGAAAGAGGCAACTCGAGCGCAAACCTATGACTTAAAACTCTGACAAAAGAATGCAAAGATAGATTAGAAAAAAAAGTTTGGGTTCTAGAAGCTAACAAAGATTGACACCCAAATGTCAGGTCCATGAAGGAACATATTGGGATGACGTGGAAAAGGCACCAAGCGCTCACTTTCCTTCCCTGCCCAGAGATGACCAGATGGCCTCAAGGGAAGTGAAGCGAAAGCTCCAGGAACACCTGTCATTCGTAGGTGGTTAGAACTGGGTGGGAGGAAGGCCTGGGCCAAAAAGCAACCCTCTGCTCAGTTTTTTTTTAGCCACAATGGATCAGTGAAGGTTTGCCAACAGGGTTGGGAACACAAATGGCCACTGCACTCTGGCCCCTCCCTTAGGCTTGCAGCAGTGCACTGGCCCCTCCCTTAGGCATGCAGCACTGCACTGTCCCCTCCCTTAGGCTTACAGCAGTGCACTGGCCCCTCCCTTAGGCATGCAGCACTGCACTAGCAGCCGAGCCACCAGTGGAGAGCAGTGCAGCAGCCTTCAGGCTATGAGAGCAGCAAGGCCAAGGGCAGCGGGCAGCCGGCCACTTCACAGTGAGAAGAGAAGCAGAACAACCTTGAAGAGAGCTGTTTGCCTTCTGACCACAGGCCTTCAATCTGACACTTCAGGTGTGACAATTCCACTTGGAGGAGGGCATCCGTTGGTAACATTGAGGACTGGGCCAGAATTAACCACAAAGAACGTCCACTGCTGTTTTTTATGGTAAAATATTGGAAACAAAATAAATGTCCCAAATGAGCATTTGGTTCAATAATTGTAGAATGACCAAATAATAAAATGAAATACTAGGAAGCCACCAAAATAGTATGTTTTGAAAGGTATTGAATCACATGGGAATACGTCTGTGATATATCCCTATTAGTGGAAGCAGTAATGAAGGAAAACTTATATGATCCCATAAAACATATAGAAAAGAGGGCCTCAAGTACACAAGTCCCAGGTTAATAATAGTTCTCTCTAGTTCAGCAATAAGCACTTTTTCCTGGAAGCTTCTCTGTATTTTGCAATGTTTCACATTGAGTAGGTATTGATTTTACTCTCTGCCCCTTTATTCCTCTGTGTTGCATTCTAAGAGAACAGTTTAGTTCAATATTCTGACTTACTAATTCGTTTTTAACCGTATTAATCCTAATAGTCAGCCATTCATTTGAATTTGTTTATTTTAATGAACTAAGTTTTACTTTGATCTTTTTTCGATGTAGTATCCGTCGTAATGTGTGTGAAGTGGTTTGGTTTCTTTTTAGTTAGTGAATTCTCTCTTGCTGTCTCTGAGAATGACCTGCTGCATTCGTTTACACTGTAACCTTCAAGCTTGGAGCCTTTCATGGTGCTGACATTCCTCCCAGGTTAGGTAATTCTCAGTGGTGCCCTCGCAATGTGCCTGTGGATACCTGTTAGACTGTGTGATGCACAGGTGAGCCCCGCCTGCAGGGAAAAGACGTGTTGCTGACACTGTGCTTGGATCTGATTCCAGGGGTTGGGAGAGAGGCGCAGGATGACAATGAAGGACCCTTAACCCTCTTGGTTACTGCCAACAATCTGAGAGCTGATTCCTGTGGTGCCCAAGAGGCCAGATGTGCTGCTCCCACCTGCAGATGGTCCCAGGTGGGGAGGGCACGGTAGAGGTTGGCCTCTTGCTTTGGTACCCCAACTAACAGCCCTGTTAGACTGAGTCTTAGACCCCCTCCTGCTCCTGGGCAAAAAGGTTTCTTGGCACAGCTTTCAATTACTCACCTGTGTATGTCTCGGGATGTAGTTGTCTAAACCCATATCCCTTACAGTTTTGATCCACTGAGGAATCCCCTGCTTTTACAGTGTAGACAAATGTCTGCTCTTTCTATCCTTTCTACTCTGAACAGTTTACACCCAGGAATTAAGATGGCAAACTCAGAATCTCCCTGAGAAAATGGAATGTCCATAGGGGAGAGGATAAATGCTGAAAGATAGAATGTGTTTGGGGTAGAGGGTGAGGGGAAAGAGGAAAATCACAAACAATACACTTATTCTACATATACTACTTATATGTACGTAGGTATATGATATATAATCTATTTGTGCTATGGATAGTAACAAAGTTTTATAAAATAGCATTTGGACAATTTACAATGTTTTATTCTCTCTAAGCAAAGCATGACACCAAGGGCCCTTCTCTGAATTCACAAATGGATTCGAGTCTCATAACACTCCCATTTATCAATGTTAGTTCTTCTTCCAAGAACTCTGCCAAGCAACCCGCATACATTTTTCCTCAAACTTTATAGCAACACCACAGGTAGGCATTGTTCCCACTTGACAGTGAGGAAACAAAGTCAGGAAGGTCTTACCCAGAGTTCCTACCTGCGCAGGGGTAGAGGTGGAATTTAACCCACGTGGGACTCCAAAGCCTATGTTTTCTTTACTGCCCGCCCCACCTCTCGAAATTACAGGAAAATTCCCAGAGGAATTTGATGGTATTTGTCTTCCACGTGGTACAGTAGGGACAGAGGGCACATGGTGCCGTAAAAATAGCATTCACTTCAGAGAGGAGACGAGTGTTCTCACCCGAGGTGGTTACCAACTTATAGGAAGGCCCTGCAGCCCTCTCAGCGGCTCTCGCCCTTCTCTCCGATGTGCCTTACACACTTCCACAACTGTTCTAGAAACAGAGAGAAGAGCTATGCAAGACAGGAGAGCTATGATGTACATACAAGTGATTATTGACCCAACTCACACACTAACGCCTCTTTTCTAAGTTTTGCAGTTACGACTTCAGCAGAGAAGGGCCCAGGAGCAACTGGCTAGCCAGGGCTTCATACCACGTGAGTAGCCGCGTCCCCGGGGTACTGATGTACTTACTACCAGGGGACCACGGGATGTGGGAGCTGGAAAGCACCTCAGAGGCATGTAGTCTAAGCCCATGGGTCTTTGTAGAGTCTGAATCATCAGAAATCCAGACTTTGGATGCTTTGCCCCAAATGCTACTCACCCACGAGGTGGGTGGTTCCCTAAAATTTTATGGTGGTGGTTTTGGTTTTAGGGTAAACACAATTCACTAAGGGCATCCCTCACCCTTTTCTTACTTTTAAAAGGGGGTATGATCACTATTCTTCCAGAAGCATTAATTACATCATTTTTTTCTCACCTCTTCGGTTTCACGTCTGTTTGGGATACTTTTATCCACAATTAATTGAATATTGTCAAGAGCTTTCTTTCTGAATTACTGAGTAGCCATACCAGTCTAGCATAAGTGGTATAATATTGAATTGTTGGCCATAATTTAGGTCAAAGAAAAAGGATTCTCATATCTCTTAGAAGGCATAGTTGAAATTTTCTACCAATTTAGCAATTAGAGCCAATTTTGGTTTTCTATCGAAATGGCAGAAAGGGTGCCCTGGATGAAGGAAATCACAGTTTAAGCTTCTTTAGGTCATAGTTTCTAACTTCGTGCCCCAACGAATTTAAAAATTAAGATTTATAACGACTCTTGCAGAAACCCAGGCCCCGGCATGACTAGTACTTCAGAGTTGAGTTGAAAAGCGTGGAAGTTTGTCCTGAATGAAGTGTCCGGCAGTCAGTAGTACCAGAGCCCTATGATTGAAGGTCTGCAATATTCAAGTATATTTCTGTGATTCAGAGCCAAAACAGAACTAAGAGTTTCCTAGGCCTTTTCCTTTGTGTTTCAAACGTAGCTCTTTGTTGATGGCTAAACCCCACCAACAGTAAACAGCAGGTGAGCTTATAGTAGAACAAGATTTTTAGAAGTTTTCTGAACACAAAAGAAACAGCTCGGCCTGCCATTTAAAAGCTGCTTAAACAACATGTACAATTGTGATGAGAAACTAAAGGAGCAAATCTGAGTGTGGCCTGTGCGTCGGCCAGACCGCCTGTGGGCCTGCTCAAGACAGGAGAGACCAAAGGCCTGTGGTCTTTAGGTTAGAGCCATGAAATCCAGCGTCACTCACAGCTGACTAGGCCTGACTTTCCAGGAATCCTGCCTCTAATGTATAGAAGCTCATTTGTTTCACATTATCTCAAAGAATTATTCACTAAGACTGTAAACAAGTGTAGGTCCCCCAGGATCCTTTCAGCGGACCACAGGCTACATATAGCAGGTGCCCTTGAATCTAAGAGGAGCCACTGATTTGAATCCTGTTGAAATAATCTGCCCCCTCACTGGAGTGGAAAGACCCCGCACCATTAGTCAGCTCCAGCTATGCACAGTGATTGACAGATCCACCATGTGCTGAACCCTGAGCCAGGGTCTCACAGCTCGCATTTGGATGAGAACAAACTCTTTTATTTGTTTTTTTTAGGTTAATAGGATTAAATCTCTGGGAATCAGTAAAAACCCTATATTGCATTTTTAAATACTGCCTCGGTGTAAGTTGGGAAGATCAAATGTCATTATTGTAGTAGGGTCCAATGGGGATGGATAGAGCATTTTGTCCTCCAGGATGTCCAGAATCGGATAGTGTACAAATGTATGAAATGCTGTGTGACAGAAATGTTGTGCCCATAGTCCAATGCATCGTTAAGATAATTACTGGAATGTGTCCTATGAGTAAGGAAATGGTTTTCTTTTTAATTCAGCAAAATGAGGAAGGTTAATGCAACATCATCCGTTTTCCTTAGTCCTCAGCCACCTCCTCTCCACCAGGCTTTCCAAGATTGTGGATTCTCCATGGACAATGCCCACGTCCCAGCAGGCACACACTGCAGGCCCAGCCCGGAGAAACCATCAGCACTTGGGTCTTCTCAGAAAGCTACCCCAGGCAGGAGGGATCTTCACCTGCCCAGATATTTGGGGCGGGGAGGAGAGGGCCTGCCTCTTCCGCCCACCTGGAGATTAAACCTGCCATCTAATGCAGTGTGCTTACTCAGGCACCTGAGGGCAGGTGTGTGAGCCACCCTTGGGGCGAAGGAAAGAGGACCCACAGTCCCAGGGGCTTTACGATTAATCAAATTAAACACATTTCTAACAAGTCGATGCAGGATGCTGTGCCAGGCACTCAGGGCACATCAGGGAACAAGACAGTCCTCAGGGAAACTCAGGATGTTAGGAGAGAGTGAGGAGAAATACACATAGTATAGTTCAAGGTGGAACTCCTTACGCTCACAAGAGGGCGTTTATTTCTTCATTATTTTCTTTGAATTTTTGAAACAGAACAAAAAAGTAAAGGTGGGAGGAAAGGGGGAGAATGGAGGGAAGAAAAGCTGATAATCCCTAGAGATTATCTGTTTCTATGATCTTCAATTTTTTTAATTGTGTATGTATGTGCTGGCTGAAACAGCGTAGGGGCCTCTGCCCCATTTACTCGGCCACCCCCATCCCTTCTAGACACCCTGGTCATCCTCCCCAGAGAGCTGATCCTCTTCAGAACAGTTTAAAACCCCTGACCTAGTCCACATCCCATTGTCTTTAACGTTCATAAAACTGAAGTTGAGGAGGCCTAAGAAATTTTTCAAATGTCCCAAAGCCCAGTCCCAGAGTGGTTCTAATTTCTGCAAATTTGAATTGTGAGAATTGAAGTGCATGCACAATAAAATTATTAATAAAAATTTTACTTTATCAGTAAAGGTTTAAATATTTGCAATCTTCTCCCAATTTTAAAACATCACAAATTGCCTAAGTGGAAAGCTGATGGCCAAATGAATTAATCATTCTATGTTGTTATTATATGGCACTACTGCTTTTAGCTGCTCAACAGAAATGCCTGCTACCCTTTGGCAGAATGAGTCTTGAGTTTGACATCAGGTTACATCTCAAGGGCTTGTCCAGTGGAAGAATGCACCCCTCATATTGTGTATTGTGGCAGAACTGAGGCCAGAACCTGTGTCTTCTGACCCCTACACGGGGCTTTGTTTTCAACTATTCAAAAGGAATCATTGAGCTTTTAGAACACTTAAGTGTCTACTATAAAGCAGTTGCATATATATATATATATATATATATATATATATATATATATCCCCGAAATGTATACACACTTTAACAGCTGGTAGCTCAATTTTAAAATGAAATGTATTTTAATAAACACTGCCTTTATAATTATTCACAGTGTGTGTATAAATTTGGGGGCAGAGACTGTATACATGACAAGGACAAACTGGTGGTTTTTGAAATGGCTCCAGGGCCTACATCATCATCTATCCCTCCCCATGACCAAGACAGAGTGAAAAATTGCACTGCCTTAGCTATGGCAGGTCTCACTTCAACTCCATGCCAAACTGACGGTTAAATTGTAAGGCTTCTCCCCTACTGCCTCCAATGAACCAAACCATGTGTAATTTTCATGACTAGTGAGACTAGTCCAAATGGATTTAATTTATTTTTCCCTTGTCCTTGGCCATGCATCTTGCAGGGTTTGAGTTTGCCTATGAGTACAAAGAGTCCACATCAATTAGAAACAAAGACTCTTGTATGATCCCCCTTAATCACTTCATTAAGCATTTACGTATTTCTTACTTGTGGGCATTATAGGGTTAGGGTTTTCCCTTCCAGGTGCTTTGAATGGATTTAAAGGCATTGTTCCTTGAGTTTCAGTGAAGGAGGGCAGGGTTCTGAGGCCTGCACTGAGCCCCTAGAATAACTTTAAACAGTAGGAAAAGGGTTCTCAGGCCGGGAGCATGGACCTAAGCCAGATCCTAAGATGGCTTTTACATTAAATATTCAGTTGTGGAATTCACACTTTCAGAATAGTCATAACATCTTAGTGAAATAATCTTCTTGAAGTTAACTTAGAAATATTTAAGAATTTATTGTTTGGATTTATCTCCAAAATCTTATCTCTGCATCTCAAGATGGAGATTGCAAGTTGCTGACTTTGTCACTATCAACTAGAACTCACAGGGGATGGCTCCACTGCCCCTCCCGTTCGGGCCCACGGCTGCAAGAGGACATCAAGGTTCTCTACCTTTTCTTGGCTGTAGGACAGAGCCCACCTCCTTCCCTTGTAGGCCTATGGACTTGTGCATCATCTCTCGTGCACATTGTCTTAGCTACAATTTATTTTTTTCTTGAGCATTGCTGTCCTGGGTAGAATCTTAGATGACACAATTTTATTCCAACCATTTCTGAAGCCTTGGTGCAGAAGGGTGATCAGCTATATGGATTAGGTGCTATCAAGGATCAAGAGCAAGTCCAATATTTTGACTATCTGCTGTGAGGAAGGCCCTGTGGAGCCCAGAAGAGTCAGATATAAGTTGTGTTTCTAAGTGCTTACAATCAAGAAGTGGCCCCAAATCACCCCTACTTAATTGTCCCCATTAACAATATTGGACAACATTACGTCACTACGTGGGAGTGGGTATCTGGGAGGGTTGAAGGAAATCAATTACTTTTTCTTTCTCTTTCCCGCTGCTATAAAAGTGGAGCTAATCTATATGAATCCCGGGGAGAGTGGAGAGAACATTTAGTTGACTGTCCTGGAACACAGAGAACGAGATTAGAGAACTGAGATGGATGGTGGAGGGCTGGGGCCCAGAGCGGCTGTGACTCTCCACGGAGACTCCGAGCAAGCCGCCGCTGCTCAGAGCGAGATGTCTGGGCAGCTTGGTTCCGTGATCTGGTCAATGTAAATGAATTTAAAGATGCGATGAGCTGTCTATGAATGGTGCTGCCTTTATTTGTTTTGCAGACTAATCCAAGCCACAGCAGCCACATACTTACTGCAAAGCCTTGGTAAATCCCTGAGTTCTGTGATACTCCTCCTGCATAGCAAGAAGGATGACTGGGCAGTTCCTGTGCCCGCACCACATGCAGCTTCCTGATAGTTCTGAGACGTTGAGTGGGCAAAGCCTTTCTTCCTTTTCTCAGTGCATCCATTTGACTTGGCTTATCCCCACAGCACCTACCACACACTGTTGGCTGTTTGAGCAGAACACGGCACAAGGGTTTCAATCTGTCTGCCTCTTCCCTTCTTTCTAACATCTCAAATTCAGAGATAGGAAAAGGCACCCTGGATTTTCGTGGCAACCTCATTTGGGTAAACAATCCTAAATCTCTTCTGCTCCCCACCCCTTTTCATTCAACTTTCTGTTTTCTTGATTCATAGAAATAAGTAAACCAGTAGTTCCTGGCATACTTTGAATTTGTCTTTGTACCCTTCTCCTGACAAATTCCAAAATTTCCACCTATGCTCCGTCAACTTGTCCAGGTGCTCAAGCAGGTCTTAAGTATAGCAAAGCTACATTGGGGAGACCCCTGAGACTATCATTTGGGTACTGGATTGGCAATATTGCCAACCTAAAGAGAGCCTATAATTTCCAAAGTGTTATCATTTCTGCATGGCATAGCGATAACACACAGCTACTTGGAATAAAAATACTCATGATCCAATTTGTCTTTAAGAGTGAGGCAAAGAGAGCATTACTAAACCCATTTTATAAATGGGAAACTGAGAACACAGGAAGACCATAAACTTGTTCAAAGCCACACCAGAAATAGATGCAAAGCCCCGAGAGAGCCTAAATTGATGGTTCCCCATAATTTAGTCATCCAAAACTTCTTTAAGTAAACCTATCCCTGCCATAGATCAAATGTTTGAATTCATTTCATCTTCCTCCCAAAGAACTCTACATACATGAATGATTAACCCTTATGTCTGTCTTTGATTAATTACTGTCACATGAACTTAGCAACCAATGATTTCCATGAGGACACCCATTACTGAACCAAGTTGCTGTGAGTCTAGGCAGCAGCAGTGAAAAGTGATAGTTCCATTTGCTTGGGCAGGCTTTTCCTCTGGGCAACACACCCTTCTCCTTCAGCTTTCTGAAATATTGACCATCACCCCTAGAAACCATCACTCCCTTCTGAACTCCCAGGGACCCTAGATCAGGACCCACTGCCTTGTAAACTCCAGAGCAGCCGTTCTCAAATGTGTGCATCGGAGTCACCCACAGGGCTTGTTAAAACACAGCCCCCTGCTCCCACACCTCTGGAGTTTGGGGTCCGGAGGTCTCGGGTGGGGCCAAGGATTGGCATTCTTGGCAAGTTTCCAGGTGATGCTGAGGATGCTGGCCTGGGGGCCACACTTTGAGAACCACTTGGAGTTCCAGTTGCTGCCCCAGGTCTCTGGCTCTTTGATTCTGCCTCTTGATCTTTATCAGAAATACCCAAGGAGCTGTGTTCTCTCCCCCTTAGCCGGGGAGTGAGCGGCTGGTGAGAGAAGGCAGGTCCTGCTTCAGGCACAGCTGTCAGAGCTGCCACCAACACCAGGCCCCTCCCCTGTGCTGGCCCCTCTCCTCAATGGATTAAAGTGCCCCAAGATCTATTTTCTGCTTTTACCGGGCCCCCGATGAAGATATGAGGTTAGAGTGCAGAGCAGGGCTCCAGGAGGCCTGGGATCTTTTCCTGAGAGAGCAGGGTTTATGCACACAGCTGACCCAGGCTAGTTGTAACCGACTCTGAGGTGAGAATGTGAATTCTCTTGTGAGAAACGATTATCTTCCTCTAGGGGGGAATGTGATGAGTGCATGAGTGAATTTACAAAGAATTTTAATTTGACTTGTTTTTTTTTTAATTTAGAAATTAAAATTCCTTGTCGATCTGAAATGTCAATGTCCCTTAGATACAAAATGTTGCTGTTTGACACTCCCAGGGTTGGCAGCAGCAGAGTCCTCTATGTGTTTTCCAAAAACTGAACTTGGGGTGGGGGGTGCATTGTGGCCTCTGCTGGCCCTCAGGGGAGGAGGCTAAACCCACATTCTTCAGAGCCCAGAATAGGCCAGTGTCTGTGGCAGGGCCACGGCAGGGTGGCTGTCCACAGTGCGACCTCAAGCCAATGCAACATGTAGCTTGCCTTGGGCCCTGAGGAGAATAGCATGTGGTAAAATGCAGGGTGTCGACCCCTTTGGCTTCCTCCTGAGTCCTTGCTGAATGGACTTAGCTTCTCCCACCTTGTGTTAGAAGGTTCCAGAAGACTTTTGTGCCCCTGGCAACGGAGCTGGGCTGTATGAATCATTTCACGGGGGAGCTGTTAACACCAAGAAGTGATGAATTATAGCTTGACAAGCTAAGATACAGGAAACGCAATGTTTCTTAGAACAATGAATAAACTCCCTTAGGAAGTGAAGAGCCTCGAGGACAAGAGAACCAGATAAATTCCTCCTAAGTCTTAAGCCCAATTACAACCAATAGAGTTTGCATGTAAGCGATATCTCAAGATGCAGTCATAGTGTTCCCTTAGGGGTGCTTCTTAAGGAAAAGGAGGTGCTGTTCTTTTCAACCACTTAACCAGGCCACACTGAGATCGATTCCTCTTCTGGGTCAGAAATGACTAAACCATAGCAGTACATAACACCTACTTCGGTGAACACCAGCGTGTAGGATGCAGGTGAAGACCTATCAGTTCAGACGGTGAGATCCACCAGGGCCCACTGGACTCCAAGCAGATGTGTAGGATCTGGTTGCCTAGGGAAACGGGAGTTGCTTTCAGAACTCCATCAATACGAATCGCAGCTGTGATCAAATGCAGGAAAAGGCGAGCCTCCTTACTAAGGATGGCGACCAGACCCAAATAGGAGAAACCGCATGAGCATTGCAGTCGAACCGCACATTTCTCCAGATGATGTCTCAGAGCCACTGAGTGGGGTCAAAAGGAGGGATGGGGCAGGGGCATTTGAAATGGCAGGTTTTGCGAAGAAGCCCATTGGAAGAGTGAAAGCAGCCAAGAGAGACTGGTGTTAGAGCAATAGGAAAAGTGATATTCAAGCAACACATTTAATTTTTTTTCTATAAGAAGGGAAGCCTCTTAATCTGCTCAAAGTATGAGAAGGGGCTAGTCCAGTACACTTGGCACAAGGCAAACAGCTGGGACTATTCTGCATGTTCCTTTGGATAACATTGTCAATGCTGGAGCGAGACAGGCGGGGTTTAGAGAGAGTGTGCTTAGTACCTTCCAAGCAGTGTCCTCGATAGAGGGTAACACAGTCCACCAGCCACCAGGACTCTGAAGGAGATGGCTTACTGTCCAGCACACCCTTTTGAAAATTGCTCAAATTTAGTATGATCTTCCAAGTTTTTTTTCTGGCCAAAATTTGGGAGAATATTTCATTGCCTGCAGCTTAATGGTGGACACCTGTGGGAGGAATATTAGAACTGTGGGTCCACTTGTTCAGACTTACACACAAAGATACTCAGTGCAATTCTGTAATCTCTGACCAACCTCATCACTTATCATGAAAAGTGCTGTTTGTAGCTCCTGGTGGAGATTGTTCCAGGAGATCAGAAAAACTAATTAAAAAAAATGGAGAATTCTGCCAAATGATGGTCTACTTCTGTGCTGAGTCAAGAGGCCTGGGTAAATGATCAGGAGGGGGAGCTGTGAGATCATAGGAAAACCAGGGCAAGGTGGAGAGATGGAGGCTGGCGTCCCATCAGGTCGTCAAGAGCAGCTGTTGCGGCGACTGACCGGTGCCTGTGCCACTGCTTGTTAATATCTTGGACACACACCTTGAGAGAAGTCAGGTTGTCAGAGGGCCTAGGCTTCTAGCCCGAACAGTGGGACCCAGGGCAAGTCAACCAATTTCTGTGGGCCTCAGTTTCCCCACTCTGGTCAGGGTTGGAGTTGTGTTTCATTATCTCCAAGGTCCCTTCCAGCCCTCAAAGTCTGATTCCATGCTTCTCAAATCAACACTCTTAGTTGCATGTTCCTACCAACGAGCCACACACCACATCCAAGGTACCCATCCCTTCTTACGATATGGGACCCCTTCCCACAGACCACAGCTTCCACCCAGTCTTTTGCACTCAAGGGCAGAACAAAGTCAAAGAGGGTGTTACTTACCCCAGCCTCCCCCTGCCCCTCAAACTGGAGTATGACTCCTGTCCCAGCTTCCCATAGGCCCCTGTACTTCCCCAGGAACCCGAATGCCCTGTCGCCACCGTGTTTCTTCCTGTCGCCTCTGCCTGTGCTGCTCCTCCTGTTTTAGGCCGAAATCCCACCTTCCTCTGTGTCCTGTGGCTTTAGGGAAGCTGTGTCCTCCAGGCCTTTCCTTCTCCATTGCTTGTGGCCTGTAAGGCGCCCACGTCCATACTGTGCACAGCTCGGCCAGCGCACCAGCCAACGCTGAGAACTGCTCAGAGCCCCTGAGCCGCCCTGCTCACATCTGCGTCTTTCTGTTTCAGCGCTGAGAGGTCCAACTGTGTTCCATGAGCAAAGAAAGCATTCGGACAGTGACCAGGTAACTGCCTGCCAACTGCCCTCTTCCTGAACTTAGACTCTGGGCTGGGTCTCTGAATGCTCGGCCTCGCCTAGAGCAGGTAGAATTTCTCCAAGAAACTCAGCCCGTTTGCCAGCGCCCTGCCCGCATGCCATATGGAATCTTCCTGTTATGAACGGAAAACTGGGAGTGGGGTCAGCTACATCAGCTTTAAAAATGTTACTTTTTAGCTTAAAAAATGCCCCCAGTCTTTCTAATGTGGGGGTCACTGCAAGGCTGCAGCAGAAGTCAGAGACCTTACAATAGGAGTCAGAGTTGGTTCACGGCTGCTGTGCCTGTCATTACAGCCCTGTCTCAGCAACAATCAGATGTTTTTAAGGCAGCTCAGTGGTGAGGTCGGGCAGTGGACACAGACCTTATTTGCAGTTACTTAAGGCAAAGAGCACTGAGTTTATTTCTGTTTCTGGGTTTTGTGGCATTTGGGGGAGAAATTTGTGTATATTCTGCACCTTCATAGCACATCTCTGCCACCTGAACTTATGGATAATATAAGTACAACTTAGCAAGCGCCAGCGCTCTGCAGGAGAGGACCTGCCGGGAGGCGTCTCCTGGCGTCTTTGAGCCTCAGCCTGGCCGCTGGTCTGGGTGGAGAAAGGAGCCGAGCTGTGACCCCTCAAAGGTGCCCGTGACAGGCGGTGGTCCCCACTCTCTGGAGAGGAACCAGGCTTTGTTTTTACTTAAAATCAGAACTCAAGTTGTCTCCAGACACCTCTCAGGGGCCAGATAGGAGATCCAATGTAGTGGGATTAACAACTAAGAGCTAGAAGTCAGAGCCGAGGCCCAGTGTGGCCCTGCCACAGCCCGCGCCACCCCACAGACAGCCGTCACCAAGGGCTCAGCAAATAGTCTGTTCCTAAGTGTCCTTCCAACTCAGGAGGGGCCTCAGAGAGAAGCCGGGTGGCTAACAGAAGGAGGGCATCTGTTGTCATGGTGATGGACTCAGATTAGGTGCCAACTCTAACCCTGATGAATGTTGTGGCTGGTTTCCAAGGCAGTGGAAGAGTGCAGGGTTCACTATAATAGAAGCAGCGCAGCTTCATTCATATTAACATGTACCTGCCTGGCCTTTCACTGTGTAGCCCTGATGGGGACTCAAGCTTTTTACCTCTTTATCTTTCATCCTGAAATCCATTAAAGAGACTTTTGTAAGTGTTTCTGCGTGAAAAGGTAGACCAGGGCTATTTGCATGTTCCATGTGTCATAGAAAGACTGCTCTCCCCTTTGAGGAAGCTCAGGTTTCTTCTGCAGTTAGAACCAGGAAGCCGGGCCCTGTGTGGTGGTGACAGTGTGTTCTGCTTGTGCCTGCAGACAGAAGACGCCCTGCAGCGCAAGGTCAGAAGCAGGCCCGACCGCGCCCACTCGGCTACTATGCACATACTCCAGGGTAAGGCTGCACGAAGCCATACTGGTAGACCAGATGCCCGCTCAGGGCTGGGCCATTCTGCCAGAGCCCTTTGTCTCTGCACAGTTGCTAAGACCTCATGTAAAGTGTCCCCTGACATTGGAAACTGATACTTTTGAGAAGTCACCTAGTCACTCTAGGTCAGTGGTTCTCAACCTTGGCTGCACAACAGAGCCAAATATCAACAGTACAACGATTGAAATTTCTTTTGAGAGCCAAATTTTTTAAACTTAAACTATATAGGTAGGTACATTGTTATTAACTTAATTAGGGTACTCCTAAGGCTTAGAAAGAGCCACACTCAAGGGGCCAAAGAGCCGCATGTGGTTCACTAGCCACAGTTTGCGGACCACGGCTCTAGGCCATTTAAACAATCAAATGGGGAAGCCGTATAATGGCTAGGAAGGTCTCACACTTGTGTTCTAATCTTAGCTGTGCCACTTCTGAGTACATAGGAAATGTTAACATACGTACATCAAATTCCTTTACAATGTCTACCCTTTAGCCCAGTAGGAAGTTTCTAGTGCAGGTATACCTCAGCAATATTTCAGGTGGGGTTCCAGACCACCACAGTCAAGTAAGTACCACAATAAAGTAAGTGAGTTGTAAGCTTTTTGGTGGTGGAAGGTCTTTCCTTCAATTTGTAAAAATGCAACATCTGTGAAGTGCAATAAGCAAAGCACAATAAAACGTGTATGCCTGTATTTTATCCAGAAAAAATAATCGGACACGCAGAGATTGATGTACAATGGTGTTCACTGTGGAATTACTTCAGATAGTGAGACATGGCAAACGGTGAACTGTATAACAATGAAGGAGGGGCTGAATAAATTACGCATCAGCCATATGATTAAATACCTCGCAGCCACCACAAAGTTGTAAAGTCTTAAGGAATCTTAGCTTACAGTTCAGCATTATAGCAACACTTGGAGGAGGCTAGATTCTCCTCCAAGTTTGTCCACAGAAGTAAGTCAGGGCCTAACTGACAAGGGAACACGGGGTAGCTTAGGGCTCTGTTAGTGACCTTTCTCACCCTCCAAATAATCATAAACTGCTTGTTGGATAAATTCCATTGTCAAGATCTCTCTGTTTAATTAGATAACTGTTTTAAATGAATCTTTTTTCTTTTACAACTGACCTGGACATTTAGATTAACATCACACTGATAAGTATAAAAGCCTTAAAAATATATAATTATAAGAATAGGTCATGGCCTGGCTGGCATGGTTCAGTGGTTGAGCGTTAACCTATAAACCAGGAGGTCACAGTTCAATTCCCAGTCAGAGCACATGCCTGAGTTTCGGGCTTGATCCCCAGTCTGGGGCATGCAGGAGGCAGCCAATCAATGATTCTCTCTCATCATTGATGTTTCTATCTCTCTCGCCCTATCCCTTCCTCTCTGAAATCAATAAATATGCTTTTTTTAAAAAAAAAAAGAATAGGTAACATTTTCTGCAGGCTCAGCCTGTACCAGCATACACACAGGATGTGCATCCAAAGGTTGTAGCTTAGGGTCAGCAAGCAATGTAGACCCATTGAACTACTTGCTTACAGAATCACCAAACTGCACATTTTTTTAAAAAAAAAAAAATCCTTACAAAGCAAGTTTCTCTAACTTTTGTTTGCCTGACTCACTATTTGTCTTTCTTTGGAAGTGGCTAGTTTTTGTTGCTAATCCATGTGAAATAACGATGACTGCATTAAAAAATTATTGGGATGGTAGAGCACCAGATGACACAATGTTTGGTTACAAATGCAATAAATCGAAAATAACATGGCATTGGAGAGCTGATCCTTTTCCTTCCCTCCCCCCGCTTAGCCTCCACAGCAGAGAGGTCCCTTCCCGCTGCTCAGATGAAGCTGAAAAGAGCCCGACTTGCAGATGATCTCAACGAAAAAATTGCTCTCCGGCCGGGGCCGCTGGAGCTGGTGGAGAAGAACATACTCCCTGTGGATTCTACTGTGAAAGAGGCCATCAAAGGTAGTAGAATGGGCATGCTTTCCCTGTGCCCTAGGATCGGGGGGAGCTGTGGCACTGACATGCTGGGCCCGGGGGTGAGGGCCATGGGATGCTGTTCAGAATGTTCCCCATAACTGGAGGTGCTGAGAGTGGGGAACAAATTCCCATCCACTCACCCTCCAAGGTCAGGTAGACATAGATGAATGTTGTTCTAGGTGAGCAGGTGGAGAACCTGACATGATGTAATCCTCAAAACATCTTCTCTACAAGGTTCCATCATAGCCATCTTTGGCCTCCTCTTGTAGAGGAAAGTGGACCAGTAGAGTGGGAAGGGCACTGGACCCCAATGAGAAGGCCTGGATTCTAAACCCAGTTCGCCTGCTGTGTGTTGGGGTTTCCCTAAGTTACCTCACCTCTCTCAGGTGAAGACCACAATTCCTGCCCCACTCCTAGGCCCTTGGAGCAAAGTTCAGGTCATATAAGCATGTGAAAACTCTTTAATAACCCTCACATGTGCCAAAAAAAATTGAAGTGCAAATACTTAAGGAGGAGACACAAATATTAATTCTATCATAAACTGTATAAAATCATTTTGTAGATTTTTCTGAAGCATTTAGAGCAAATGGACCCAAATAGCCTGAGGATACTGAACCCATTCATAGAGGTGTTGGGGTGAAACTTGGGAAAACTAGAAGGAAGAAAGGAGCATTTACCATGAAAAGTTAGAGAAATTTACTTTCTTCCAATTATGTCCACAAAGAGCTCTAAGGATTAAATGTTTAATAAGCAATACACATTTAAATGTTTCCACACTTTGTCAAAAGTATGAATAAGACATTTTATCAGACACAAAGCCTATTATTAAACTTACTAGAGGCCCAGTGTGCAGGATTCATGCACTGGTGGGAGGCATGGCCTGCGGGATCAGTCCACTGTGGGAGGACGCTCATCCCAGTCAGCTGAGCGGCGCTCCCACTGTGGTAGTGCATTGACCACCGGGGAAAGCTCCTGCATTGAGCATCTGCCCCCAGGTGTCAGTGTGTGTCATAGCGACTGGTTGACCAGGCGTTCTGGTCATTCCGCCATTCGGTCGCTGGGCTTTTATTATATAGGATCATTAAGTGTGTTATTCACATTCTAAAATCTTGCTCTCACCCAGCCATTCAAAGGCCACATGAATTTTGTATTTGAAACCTGTTAATATGAAAATATCAACTCTGGGAGAGACAATATGCAAACCTGTCAGTGCCCCTAAACATACCATTGTGATTTACCATCATCTATATTCGCTCCCTTCATGCTAATTATCCTATGCCTTTGAATTTGGACTAGCCCACTCAACCACACACTCTCTCCATCTTTACTCTGATAAGGTCTAGGAAATGTTCTCCAACAGGCATCTCTGATCATTTCTTTGAACATTCTATTCCATGCATGCAAACTTATTATTGATTTTTATATGACAGGCAAAAGATCTCATTTTAACTTGCATTCTTTGGTTTATGGTGAGATTATATTTTTCTACGTGATTTTGTGTCATTGTCAATTCATGGTTACTCCTCTTTTTTTCTACCAGGCATTTTCTTCCCTTACTGCTATGTAAAAGCTATTTATATAGTAGCGGGAAATGCTAATCTTCCATCTGTCATAGATATTGCACATCCTCTACCAGTGTATCCTTGGGGTGTGTGTGTGTGTGTGTGTGTGTGTGTATGTGTGTGTGTATTTTACCTATAGCAATTTTCAATTTCTATATAGTTAGATTTATTAATCTTTTCCTTTATGGTTTCTGAATGTATTTATTGAAAACATTTTAGCTCAAGAATATAGTTATTGTCTTCTAACATTTATATACTTTATTTTTATATTTCAATCCTTAATGCATATGAAATTATTTTAAGTGCATGGTTTAAGAGAAAGATCTAACTTTAGTTTTACACAGTTTTATTGATATATTTTACAATTTGCTTTAGTATCTGCCTTCACAAGTTTCTTTACATTGGTCTGATCTTTCTCAGTTTTCTTGGCTACTCTTACAAGTATATGCTGGGTGCAATTTACAATCAGTTTATCACATGCCAACTTCAGTCTTGTTAGAATTTTATTTGGGACTACAGTCAATTAATAGATTAATTTATGGTGAATTCATATGTTTAAAATATATTAATTCTGAAGCAAAAATACAGTCTCTCTCTACCTACTCAAGTCTTCTTTTATCTTCCTAAATATTTTTCTTTAAGTAAAGTCAATTATTTCTGACATATGAGAAACCTATTGATTTTGCATATTTATTTTATAACTTTGAAGATTTTCTTAATAGTTTGAATAGTTTCTCAGTTTACTTTAGATTGTCTAGTAGACAATCACATTTTTTTCTGCCTTGATGCACTGGTTGCTACTTGAAAAGCAACATTCTGTTTTTATTAATATATTATATAATTAATATAATTTTTAAAATTATGTACAGAATATTTATAACATAAATTACATATATATATTTTTATTTAGAAATTATATATTATATATTTAAATTTATAAATTATGAATTTTGTGTAAATTTTATGTTATAAAGTATAATATTCTATAATTAAGTGTATTTTATTGTATATAAAATAGTTACATCATATATAGATGCATATCATATGTAAAATTATATGTATGATCATATAAAGCACATATAATTTATATTACTCTATATTGTACAAAAATATTTTATTATATAATTTAATCATTATTAATATAGTACATAGTAGAAAATTATTATTACTTCTGCATTGCCGGTGTTTCAATAGCAGTATTACACTGTTGCATATATGTTATGCTTTTTATTATGTTGTTGATAACATTTTAGTTTGTTTCTATCATAAATGGGAATGTCTCTAGTCATCCGCCTCTATCTGTGATAGTAGTTTTGCTGTGAAGGGGCCTCAGCAGAAGTGAAATGGAGTTAAAGAGCTCCATTAGGAGGCTGTTTGGTTTGTTGGATGGGAGTTGAGGGCCTGAACAAGAGTCATGGCTGCAGGAGTGGAAAAGAGGGTCTGAGAGGTTATTGATTTTGTATGATTAGATGGTCGGTAGAAGATACCAATTTGGACAAAGGAAAGATTCAAAGATGACACCCTAGGCTTCTCTTTTAGGCAATTGGGTAACTGGCAGCCATTTATCAAGATGGGGACCATGAGTGGAAGAGCAGATTTGAGGAGGGATGAAGAATTCTTGGGTTTGAAAGGCTCGGGAGAACTCAATAGGCAGGGATTACGTAAGCAGTGGGAGCTCTCAAACTAGGATTCAGAAGGAAGTATTGGTCTAGAGTAGTGGTCGGCAAACTGCGGCTCGCGAGCCACATGCGGCTCTTTGGCCCCTTGAGTGTGGCCACGAAGATTCAATTGCACTGTACGTGCGTGCCCGCATGTGGCATTTTGTGGAAGAGCCACACTCAAGGGGCCGCAGTTTGCCAACCACTGGTCTAAAGCTATGGACTTGGGAGACTTTAGTGTATATGGTAATTTAAACAGATGGACTAGATAAGATTGCCTTTTTATTCACTTATTTCTTAATATTTATGGAGCATCTTCTTTGTGTCAGACACAATCCTAAGTGCTTGGGATATCTCAGTAAACAAAACATACAGATTTCTGCTCTAACAGCTTATAGTCTAGTGTGGGGAACATAGACAATAAACAAAAACAAGAAATAGTTATATAACACAATAAAAGATGATAAATGCTGCAAAAAAATAGAAGTAGTGCAGGATACAAAGAATTAAGAGTGCCCAGTAGAGGGTGGTTGGGGGGATGGAGGATGTATAAAACAAGAAGAGGTCTAAGGTGAGGTCCTCGTGCAATATTTGGGATAGAGGCAGTGATTCTCTGAAGAGTAAAGAGAGGAATGGCTACAGAAAGAGGTGGAGGATTTAGTGTGACCTAATCCAAGGAAAGCGATGGGGACTGAGCACCTGTTATCAACCAGGCATCAGCCTCATTAGTGGTACCTTTCAATTCACGTGTGAGCAAGGTGATGTCATCAGATGAAATGTCATAAAGAGAGGGAGTTGCTCCAAGACCAGCTGTAGAGACAACACTTTGAATAGCACTTCTCATGGTGATGATGGTCCAGCCCACCTACCTTTCTGTCACTTCTCACGATCAGATCATCTCCCCTGATAAAGCGGTGACTCGGGGTTGAGGTTTGCTGTGTATCGTTCTCCTGGCGTCTGTGTCCCCACTTCCCCCCTCCACGTGCCTTTCCGGATGTGTTTACATTTTCCAGCTCTCTCTGCAGCTGTGTTTCTGTGTTTCTGCCAAGCTCTGAGCGAAATGCTCGGTCACTGTCTCACTCCCTCCAGGTTTTATTAAAGGCCAACTATTCTCCAACCCTAAGATAAAATCATCTAGAACCTTTCCCAACAGAGAACCAGTTCTCGCTCTGGGATCTGTCTTCTCACTCCCCGTTTTCAACCCCTCTTGCAGTCAGCTGAATGACGGCAGCGAGTCTTCCCCAACACTTTCCTCTGCTTTATGGAGCCAGCTAGCAACCCCACTTCCGGCTTGCAAGTGTATCTTCTGAGTCAGGTAGAATTTCACAGGTCCCAGCGGGAGGAAAGGCAGGCTTGCCTGAGGAGAATGACATGAGGAGGAGGAATAGGGAGCTTGCTGATTTGACTTCCACAGGAGGAGGGGCCACATCTCAGAGCATACACCTGACTCCCTGCTTTTCTTTCAGAGAAAACCACTAACAGCCACCCTCTCTCTGGCCAGAATACTGAATACCACAAATATGATGTTACGTAGGGGTGATGGTTTCCGAGAACAGAAATTATATGCTGGATTTTAGAGTGGCCTTGTCCACTTATGCATGGTCATTGTTACTCAGGGATCCCTCAGACTTGAGTTGCCCGGGGGGCTTACTCCAAGCTTGTTCATTCTCTCTCTAGTCATCTGAGTATTTTCCTCACGTGACAGGAGCATGCCTTAGCTACCAAGAAAGCTGTTGATTGTCCAGAGGCCTGGTTTCTGCTTGAG